TCTAACCCTAAACGTAACCCTTAACGCTAAACCTAATGCTAACCCTTAACCTAACGCTAAACGTAACCCTAACTCTTAACCTAACCCTAAACCTAAACCTAACCCTTACCTTTATGTGAATCGGCTTGCTTTAATTTTAATTTTATTTCAATTTTTAATTTTTTTCGTCGCGCTGTGATGACGTCAAATGCGCGCTTTCGTCGAGCGCGATTTTGTCCTCCGCGGTTTTGACGGGTCACGGTAATATTGGATGCAGAAGCCAAAAAGCTTTTCTTGCCTATGGTTTTGTCCAAAGCACAGCTTTTTTTAAAAAAAAGGAAAATAAAATTAGATGAACAGGAGGGAACCTTTCTTATTCTACTGTGAGGAAAAACAGGGATGAAAGAGTAGTAGCTCTGACAAATTAGGGACTTTTTTTTGCAGATCATGTGAAAAGTTATGTCCACCTACTCAGTGATTCAGCCATAACTGAAAATTCTGGTGAGATAATTATGAATACGTTCCAACAAGCCTTGGAGCAGTAGACATTCCATCTCCTTTATTCATCCTCCAATGTAAAAGAAGTTGGAGGCATTTGGGTCTTTTCCCACAACAGATCATGGTTTGGGCAAACCTGGGTCTAAAGAAACCATGGTTTATATAGCCCTGGCTTAAATTACTCATGCCAATATTTGTACACCCTGAAGATCTGTGCTTAATTTAAATTCAGCAGCGGATGCTTTTAGAATTCTTTTTATGAGTCTGAAACAGGAGGACTTGATGGCTGGAACAGGAATGTCAAAACCCCAGAGGTTTGCCTCAGCTATTTCCTATACTAGGAAACAGTGGCTTTTGTTACGTTTGAATAATGGTCTTCATGAGATACTTTTGCAGTTTCTGTTTTTCATTAACACAGCGCCATATCTTATTTGTCATTTATCTGCTCTGTACTGGGTACTTCTCTCTTTACTGGATGGCTGAACTTTTCACCTTCTCCAGGTTGGATATGCAGTATTACTGTTGATCCTTGTATGTCATAAATCTGAATAAAATTCCAGATATCTTTTCCGTTTCATAATTGCATAACTTTTTCTTTTACTTTTAAGATTTGTTTAGTGGGCATCCAGTAATTGCCTGATCTCTTGTTGATGTGCTTAAAGGTTTAAAGGCAGGCCTGGTGCTGAAATAAACTGGGTTGCCTGCATCTGGTAATTTTTTTGTGCTAGAAATGACGAATATTAATCTGGGAATAAGGTGGAAGGCTGAAATTATGCTTTGGCTGCATAAGAAAATGCACAATGAAGAAAATGTCCCTGGGACGCGATTAGCAGAATTTTTGGAACTGTCGACTGGATAAGTAGGAAAAAATGTTTGCAGAACAAATACTTTGGCACAAACCTGCTAAAGTTACTAAACCCGAACACCAGATTGTATATTTCAAGGAGATCTGTAGCGCCACTGCTTTTGTGAGAAATAACAACCAACAATCCGCTTGCCTGAACATACGAAGTTTGTGAATATTAGGATAGGAACCTTTTTTTTCAGAGTTTAACAATCTGGAGAATCAGTACACCTAGTAATCAAGAACATTTCACAAGCAAGGCAAAAAAAAAATTGAATCTGCTTGGTTAGTTTTCTACCAAGTACTTTTCTTAAAAAGTGAAAGGAAGAGGAAGCAGGAGTTGTCACAGGAAATATAAATTAACTGACTGTAACTGGTCACTGGGGATATTTGATCAGTGCAGCTTATATAGAAGTTTCCATGAGGCAGCTTTGGCAGCCACTTAAAGCGAGGGGGGACGACGATGACCCAATTTCTAGAGAAATTATTTGGGCAGATGTAGGTCCCAAAGAGGGGAATTCACAGAAGTTATAGGTATCGTCCATGATCTCATCAACCTCTCCCAGGTGATTCCTTCAGTATTGTTTAGAATAAGTCTGAGTCATAGAAGAGTCCGTCTGGGGCATTGCTTCAGGCAGACTGTGATCTGGCTATGCTTGGCGTGTTCTTTGATCAGAGAGAGTATAACAAGGCTTCCTTTCATGTAGTTGATTTCAGTAACTTCAGACACTGGTTGGTTTCTCACAATTGTGCTAAGCCTTGCTGTATTTCTTTGGTGATTTGGAATTGATTTAGCATGCTGTGTGAGCCCACTCAATATGATTTGATACGATCAGGATTTGTGACTTAATAGGTTATGTGAACTTAAGCTGAGCAGTTATTAAACCAAATTGGTGGTTAGCACAATAAATGAAGGACATTTAACAGTCGAGCTACCAGGCTATAGTAAACAGAGCAATTTTCCACACCTTTGGGTGCATGAATGTGCAACAACTTTTTAGATTGTAAATCTAAGAGCAGAGACTGTTTTTTTAATTGCTCTGTAGGATATACTTCCTGAGATAAGGGTTAAACGAAGCCACAAGCAAGTTTAAAAAAAATGAGTAATTAGTGGCAGTCCAGTCCAAATGCCAATGAACTTCAACTTCCAATTATTTCATCCAGCATTACCATATTAAAGATACTGTCATGCTCATCTGAAAAGTGACAGTTTCTTCATTTGTCAACATTTTTGACCTATAAGGATAGCAAAATGCAAAGTTATTTTTGAAATGTTTTCAGGACATTTAAGCTATTGATTAAAATATATATATATATTCTGTAGCCCCTAATCCGGAAGCGGCATTAGTGATAGAACATTGGCAATAGAATGAGCAGTATTGCAAATGCAAAATTAGCATTTCCAGTGCACAAAAATAAGACTTAAATCAGAAGTTTAATATTTAACCAAAAAAATCAATGTTTTGGTCATTTTTTCATGTTCCTACACAAAAATGTATACAAAGCTATTTTTTTGCTAGAGCTGCATATTTGCTTTTTAAATACTCTGGACCTTTACCTTGGGAATGTTTGATTTCCAGATATCTTTATAATTTTGCTTGTACTTGCTCATTTTCAACACATGGTATATTTGATTCACCTTTCTTGCCAGACCATATAAAATCAAAATTGATAACGCTTTGGTCATATTTCTGTTTTTTCTGCTTGAACATCTTTTCTAGAATTCATTTAGCTTTTACTATTTTTCACTGGGGGGCGGGAGAATTCTGTCTGCAGTTGTACCAGTTTTAATGATTCATGTCTAAATATTTTTAGTTCTAATAAAAAACACCCAAAATATTAATAATACAAACACATATGATAACAGACATAAATGTGGGAAAGGTGTTGTTGATAGCATGATTTTTTCCCGTTATGAATGCCTGGCTGAAGCCACTTCAGCCCAGCTTAGTTATATTTGCCTTCCTGCGTACTGTAAGCAAAATTCTCGTGTATATTTACTTCAAAGAAATTTCCACTCCAAAGAATTTAGAGGCCCATATGCACTGTAGCCACGCAGTGCAGTTCTACATTTCTTTATTAATTCCTACCCAGCTCAATAGAACTAAATAGATTAACGCAGGATGCCATCTTGATAATTAAGGAGACCTTTTAGGGATGTGCACATGTATTCATACAAAGCATAAAGTACAATGTAGAATGCAGAAAGGCATAGAGGACTTCACCATGACTGCTTTTGTATTGCTAAGCAAGTTAGAAACTCCTAACAGATTTGTAGCTCTTTCTGTTTTCAAGTCCTTCAGCTGCTTTTTGGAAAGCATGGGCTACCTGGGGAGATGTTTGTTAAAATTGGGGGGTAGGCAGGAAGATGACTTTTGGGTGTGTGCAGTGCACTTGGGATGAAAACTGTAGGGACTTGCCTGGGCAGTCTCCAAGAATCAAACATAATTGAACAGAAGAAAATAAGATCTTGGGAAGACAGGTTTTGACTGATCGTTAGAGAGAACTGGCCAGTACCTCTTGTATGGACTGCTTCCAAAGGCCGATTATGTAGAGACAGTGAAATGGGAAGAGCAATATTGAGGTAGGTAACAGATGACTGACTGTGTATCCAAGACTGGTACATTTTAAGTTGTTTTTAGTCTCTCATAGAAACTGTTCAAATGATTGTGAAAACCTGTGCTTCCACAAAACCCAATTTGAAAAAATACAGGCTTGATCTTTATTACTTCCTCACTGGTATAGCCTTCTGGAATAATTAGAATTTCAAGTGCTTATACCTTCTCTGGCCTTTACAGAAATGGCACTGGAGTATAATAGATAAAATTGGGACTCCCAACAGATCAAATGTTCAGTATTTCATTATTCAGAAGGTGTCCTTTCACATAATTCTCACACCCTCTTCTGTACAAAACCAACATTGTATGAGCTAATGGTTTTTTGAACTCTTGGTGTCCTTTATTTGGTGTTTGAACTCTTTTCTTATCTTTGTCATGACAGATGAATCTCTCAGACCCAGTGGTGGATGTCAGCTGTTTGAAAAAACCTACTTTTATTGCTATGGATGGTTTCAAATTGGACCTTCTGCAAGGACATATGTCTGATGTATTGCTGACCTCTATCTTTGTAACTGCAATAGGGGAACTTACTGTGGCACATTTGGGCACATCTGAAGGGCGTGTTTTACAGGTTAGTTAATGCTATAGCTATTTGCCATATACAATGAATCTAACTCAAATGTTTACATTAGAAGTACACAATCTAAAATTTCCAGGTTGCATATGTCAGCTTGTGGTCCCTGTAGCCTTTTCAGAAGTTGCTATTGAATTGGATTCTTCATGGATCAGAAAAACTAAATTAGCAATAGCAGTTAGACTTATATACTGCTTCATAGGCTTTCAGACCTCTCTAAGTGGTTTACAGAGTCAGCATATTGCCCCCAACAACAATCCGGTTCCTCATTTTACCCACCTCGGAAGGATGGAAGGCTGAGTCAACCCTGAGCCGGTGAGATTTGAACAGCCGAACTGCAGAACTGCAGTCAGCTGAAGTAGCCTGCAGTGCTGCACTCTAACCACTGCGCCACCTCGGCACCTCGGCATGGCTGAGGCTAAATTAATGGCTTTGCACTATCATGCCAGTGCTAGGCAAAAAACATTTTCCTCATAAAATATAGGAAAATGATTGTACTGTAGCCACCGTTGTAAGTGTTGGGTTTTAAAATACAGAACTGGACAATAGCAATAGCAATAGCAA